CCCCGCCCCCTCGCGGAGCCGCAGCACCGCCGAAGTGCAAGTCGTCCTCCTCTCTCCTCCAAGACTGAAGCCTCAGAGGGAAGTTGTGCCTCCTCTCACTTCCAGGTGCTGGCGGTTTACAAAACCAGCGGGTCCCACCTTGGACATCTGTCTCTGGTGGGAGTGGGATAGGCGGCCAGAGGAGCCCAACCCATGCCAGCAGGACCCCCAGGGTGGGACCTGGAGCTGCTGGGGGCTGGGTGCTCGGGCACTCAGGCGCCAGGCAGCCCTCGGGTGCCGGCTCGGAGGTTAGGGAGCAGCCTGCGGCTTCTTCCCCTGTGCAGGGTCTGCGGGCAGAGCTCGCCTTCCAGAGAAGCTGCATCTGGGCCATGTCCCCCCTCCTCCAAGGAGCAGACTGCGGACTCAGCAGGCCCCAGGCCCGAGTCCCGGGCTGGATCTGCAGATCCAGAGATTTCCCCGGGCTGTGCCTCAGCCGGAATGATGCTGGTGGGGCCCCTTTGGGGAACCTGGCAGGGCTCCCTCCCTACCTGGACAGAACAGAGCCCCGGGGACGCTCCTCATGCACAGGGCCCTCTCATCGGAGGCCCTGAACACACTGTGTCAATCAGTTCTGCTCGGGTCCGGAGAGTGTCTGAAAAGCAGACTGGCCCAGGTTTGGAGGGCCCGGTGTCGGGTTGGGGAGCTTCTGGAGGCTGTGCCGACCTGTCTGTGGGCCCGTTCTGGGTTGTGAGCAGGACCTTTCGGCAGCAGTGGGCCGCTCGGGGAGGGCCGGAGGCTTTGGAAACGGCCAGTGGAGCTGGCGGAGGTGCTTCCTCCCCCCCACGTACGCTGTCCCCGCGCCAAGGCTATTTATTACTTCCAGCAGCGAAGGAGACAAAAACATGGAAAAGCAGTGTCTCTTAAAAATGCTTTTCACGCAAGCTAGAGCGGCGGGTTCCCAGATGTGGAAGGGGTGCATATTCCTCACCCCCCCCCCCGCCTGCTCCAAAGCCAGCCGACTCCACGCCTGATCCAGGGGGCCACCTGGTGCCACCGGCGGGCTCCTGAGCATCCCCTTTGTCCCAGGCAGACGTGTGACAGGATGGGGTAAAGAAGGCGGGGGAGCGAGCTGTGTGGTGGCAGCGGGCCAGGCCACTGTCCACCCCTGGCTTCCACGTGTGCGCCTGCTGCTCGGGGCCCTCTTCCCGGCCCGAGCGAGGTTCGTAATGGTGATCGTAAAAGTGAAACAGCCCGTTATTCTTATCAGGGAACACAGGCTTGCTGGGAACAGCAAAGAATTGCAACTGGGGACAAGCATGGCAGAGCACCAGCTGTAGCATGGGCATCCAGCAGGGGGAGGGGGCGCTACTTTGTACCCAGAACGGAAGCTGCTGGGGGGCTGGGGGGCTGGGGGTGGTGCTCTGACTGGACCAGGAACAGGAGAGGTCAGGGAGCTGATGATCGTCATTGGCTGGGCTTGTTGCTGGGCGGGGAGAAAATCTTCCCCCTGCGGAGGTCCCAGACACTTCCTGTTGGGAATGCAAGTTCTCTTCCTGTCATGGAGTATGATTGGCTGGGGAGGTGGTGGTGGGTGAGGACGCCCCTTCCAGCCCCTTGCCTTTAAGCGAGGAATGCATTATGCAGGGGCTCGCTTCCACTCGGTGCGCCGCCCTCCATGAGCTCGCGAGACTGTGAGGGCCCAACCACGTGGTGCCTTGGAAGTCGAGTCAACGAACCCCAAGGTGGAATGGGGACGTTTTGATGCAGTTGGGCCAAAGGCTTCCAGGGTGGGAATCTGGGCTGGGACTGGAGACCTCAGGTGGGCCAGCACCCCTCTTCAGCACCAGCTTCAACCCGATGGGTGTCTTGGATCTGGTGTGGGGTCCCCAAGTCTCCCATCCCGCCATCCTACGCCAGAAGGTGGTGCCCTGCAGCGCCACTGCACCCGGAGAGCCGCTTCCCGTCACAGTCCTGGGCCTTCTCAAAGCTGGATTATTGAGAAGGTGGCAAGACTTCTGCTGGAATTAATGAATGCATGTAAAGACATTCCAGTGAAACGCCCAGTGCGACTGGGGAGGAGCTGGATAAAGGGACCCCAGCGTCCATTCAGAGGAATGACGGGCGGGAAAGACCCGTGCGGTTTGGAGGGAAAATAAACCAGGAGAGGTGCTCCCTCTTGGTCAGCAGGAGCCGCCACCAGAGCGGGTGGCGCACAACCGTCACTTCCCCAAGCCGAGTGCTTCTTTCTGGACGACGCCGGCAGCCGCCGAGCGAAGAGCTGCACGTTCTAGCAAAGAGCGACCTCCTCCGAGGCACGGCCCCCTCCCCCCCTCTCCGGTCTTACCTGGGAAACTGCAGACCAGGAGAACGGCGGCGGCGCCCCGCACGCTCTCTCGTAATGAAAATGGGCACCGACGGGTGCTCTCGGGGAATAGGTAGTGTATTCTGTTTAGGGAGATCCCTGCCGATGAACACACGTTGGAGTCGAATCCGTAAAGGTGTAAACCCACGTGCGCGGCTCTTGCACCCGTTTCAAATACACGCTCAGAGCGCCCCCTGGTGGCCCGCAGGCCATCTGGTCTGTGCAAGAAGACACCCAGCGTTTCAATGGTTTCAGGCTGCGCAGAGACTGGGGGTGCCCGCGAGCGTCGGGGATCCGGGCAGTCTTTGCGAGGGGCTTTGCTTTAGGAGGTTCATTCCTCAGACCTGTACCTGAGAATGGAGGCTCCGTCTGGGGTGGCGGGAAGGCCACGGACTTCCCGAGCGAGCGAGTGGGGTGGTGGCGAGGTGTCCTCGCCACAGGGACAGCTGCCCGCCTGCCCACCTGGCGCCCGGCTCAGGGCTGTTCACCTGACGCCTGACCGTGGCGCCAGGACAGCACGGTGATGCTGATACAGCTTGTGCTTTCGGGGCGCTTCCAGGTTGGGGGCAGGGGAGGTGTGCACAGCTCACATATTTTGGTAAGTCAGCAGAGTAAGCGAGGTTTACATCACTTTTCTTGAAGAGGGCTCTCGTTTTTATATGTTTCAGGCCACACCAAGCCTGGATCCCCTGCCCAGTGGCCTCCACTTTAACCCCCCAAATTTGGGTCCACTCAAATTTTTCCTCTGAGAAGCTGGAGGATTTTCTGTACCAATCGGCTACCCTCAGCCCATGGGTGGTGGGGGCAGGACACAGAGGTGGGGCGGGAAGCTGGTGTTCACTTATCCACCCTACATACACTCTGTGGGCGCTGTCGTGGCTCTGGCAGAGGGAGCCAAGCTCTCTGGTGGGAGCTGCACCCTTGCCTACTTGCACCGGGTTCGCCTGCTCGGGGGGGGGGCCCTCAGAGGCTCTCTCAGGGCAGGTTCCAGGCAGATGAGGTGGCAGGGAGCCCAGGTCTGGAGCCCGGTGTGGGCCAGCCCTGCAGCTTTGGTCCCAGCCAGGGGCGGCTGCGGGGGGACAGGGACTGAGCAGGGTGGGGGGTGGGGCACCAGCCAGCAGGGACACCGACCTGCGTCTGGGGTTTCAGAAGACAGTGAGGCCGCCCTGCTGTGGGCTGTGTTGTGTCTCCTGAAATGCAAATGGTGATGGAGGTCAAATGAGTGTGTCATGGGGTGGGGCCCTGATCCTTCGGGGTGGTGGCACCTTGTGAGGGGGAAGGGACACCAGCTCTCGCTGCCTCTCTGTCTGTCCCCACCACTCCCAGAAGGCGGCACCCAAGGGCCGGGAAGTGGGCCCTCACCGGGAGCCTGGTTGGCCTGCACCTGACCTGGGGCTCCAGGAAGGTGGGAACGGCTGTCTATTGTGGCGTTTTGGGGAGCCTGAGCTGACTGTGACCCACCCCTGGAGAGGGGGTCAGACGTGCCGGACCCCCATCCGCTCCATATGCATGAGACACAGACAGCAGCGCAGGGCGCTCAGCGAGGGGCCCCAGAGCCGGCCCCTTGCCCCGTTTCCCAGGTCTGCAGTTCACAAGTTGGGCCACTTGGGGCTGTCGCCTCCTCCTGACCTCAGGTTCCTGTCTGTAAGCAGGGTGACTGCAGCCCCCTGACAGGGCCCTGCCCCCATTAAGGTGACTGTAATCTTCGGGCTGGCTGGGGGCTCAGACAGTGGGGGGCACGGTTGTGTTTCCACAGCATCTGCACAGCTGGGAGAGCCCCTGGCTGCCACCTAAGTGCTGCCCAGCGGGGGCGCCAGGGCTCTGTATGGGGTGGGGGTTCTGCAACATCTCCGGACACTTGGAACACCTGCAGTGTGTGTGTGTGGGGGGAGAATGCCTGGCGGGGGCTGCGGCTCCACGCACCTGCCTGTGATTCAGGGGGTGCCCAACTTCTGGCCTCCCATCTGGCCCCACCCAGACTGCATCTCTGCTCTTCAAAAACCTTCCGAGGGGATTGTCCCACCCTAGGGCCCCTGGAGCGCCTGGTGCTCACCCTGCGGGAAGTGAATTCCAAACCAAACCCGGGTTTGAAAAAGAGGGTCCGGTCCTAGGCCTCGCCGGGGAGCAGCGGCAGAGCAGGGTGGCCCGACCAAGGCCGCAGGCGACGAAGGGGTTGGGTGCCAGGCGTGACGGTGCACCGAGCCCCCGCAGGGAGGGGAGCCCAGGCCGGTTTCTCCTGGGACTTACGAGGGAAGGAGGGCTGAGGGCTGCCCCGAGGACGGGGTCTGGGGTCCGGGGTCCGCAAAGAGCAGCCGTTGCCCAGGGTGAGGGGCGTGCCCCCTGGCGGTTCTCCCGGTCGGGGTTGGTCCCTCAGATCTCACGGGACCGGGAATTTCAGCCGGAGAAGAGCTGGAAGCCTGAAGGGGTTGCGCGGGCCTGGCCGGGGTAGGGGGCTGGAGCGAGGACCCGAGCGGGACTGTGGGCGGGGCTGGGAGCCGGGGAGGGGCGAGAACAGGGCAGGCAGGGGCGTGTTGGGGGCGTGGTCGCGGGCGGGGTCGGGTCTGGGGTCCAGCCGTGGGGCGGGGCTAAGGCGGGCAGGCCGGTGGCGCGCGGGGCTGGGCTCGCTCAAGGCTCACTGCTCCTGGGTAGACTGCGGCGCGCAGGTCTCCGCTGCCTCCTGGGAGCGGGCGGGAAGCGGGACCGCACCTGCAGCGATCCGCTGCAGGCTCCGGTGCGGTCACCTGTGGCTGCGCTCCTTGTTCCCCCGCGCCCGGTCATGGTGCACGTGGAGGCAGCTGCTCCGAGGGCTCGCCCGGGCTGCCTGTGAGCTGGGCACCGAAGGAGGGACCCGGCGCGGCGCCGCGGGCGCGATGCCTGTCCTTGTGGAGGCGACGGGACGCGCAATGGCCCTGGTCCTGGTGCTGCTGCTCCCCGCCGTGCCGGCGGGCGCTGGCGCCCTGCTCCGCCTGCAGCCTAGCATGTGAGTAGCGCGAGCGGGAGGGCTCGGCCGGACGTCCGGAGACCGGGCCCCCTGGGAGGCTTTGTCCCCGGGGCCCGCGAACAGTGGGCTCTTTGCCGTAAACTGGCGGGGAGGAGGCTGAGACAAGGTTCCAGGGCTGGGGCAGGGGCCTTCCACGGCCTCTCCCCTTCCCCTTCCTCGTCTCCCTTCCCTCGGTGGGGGGAAGTGAGGGTTGCAGGCGAAGGCGGATGCTGCGCTCTGGACCCGAGGTGAGGGAATCTGGGTCCTCGCCAGGCAGGGTCCGCCCAGGGAGCCCGGCTTGGAGAAGGCAGAAAGGAAGCGGCCGGTTTCCACTTCCTTCCAAAGCCTGTCTCCCGGGGCCCGGGGGCCCGTGCAGGGGCGGGCTGTGCCCCGACGGGGGGCCGCGCAGAGTTGGTTTATGTGTTAAACACGTGCGCTCTGGGGCTGAGAGACAGGAGGAGGAATTCAGCACCAGGACGGGAAGGAAGACGGGGTCACGGATCCCGCTGAGATGGACTTAATTCTGAAAGATGACTCGCTGCCGGCCGCTTGGCGGTCTCTCTGAAACAGCAAATCGATCCTTCTGTTGGCCTCAGAGGGAAACCGGTGCCCGAGTGAGCGAATCCTGAGGAGGGGGAGGGGGAGGGGAGCCTGCCACGGCCCCTACTCCTGTGCTGGCAGCAGGGTGCTGGGCCCGCCAAGCCTGGGAAGGCTGCCCAGGGGCTGCACAGGGGTGGGCCAGCGGCCCGGGCCCCGGGTGAGGCCCTCCTGTCCAGCTCCTCCCCGGGCAGCACAGGCTTCCAGGTGGAGCAGGGGCAGGGCATGTCCGCACTCCCGGACTCCACCCTGGGTCCTGGTTTGCCCCAAGAAGGAAGATTCCTTGTGGCCTTTTCAAAGGAGCACAGCCCCTGGGTTGGGGCCTTTGCGTCTGCAAATGTGAGCTGCCCAAGCCCCAACACCACACGGGACCTTCCTCCTTCCTGCCACCCCAGTGGTGAGAGTGTCCCCCGGACGCTGCAGCCTGGGAGGGGATTACCACGGCGGCGGGGGCCGCTTGCCTGCCTGCTGGTGCCGGTCAGGGTGGGCAGGCTCCGAGGGCTCTGCCCACTCAATGGAGACCTCGAGTCGCCCTTCCTGGGCCCCCTTCCCTCAGGTGAGGTCACCTGCTCACCTTGGGCCCCAGGAAGCCCCCAGCAGCTGAGAAAGCCTGTCCGGCAGGGGGCTAATGGACTGCAGGAGACCTCAGGCGCCTCCTGCTTCACGCTTTTCCCCAGTCTTCCTCACTCTATCCCTCTGGGCTGCAGACCCTGGTTTCCTCCCCCAAGGCAGGCTGGGCAGCCCCGCACCTTGCTCTGGGCACGGCCACTCCAGGCTCCGTTCTCGGATCACCCCTCGCTGTTGAGTTGAGTCGAGTCGCTGGTGCCTGCAAGCATGCCTTCCAAGGTCCCTCTGCTTCCTGAGCACCTGGCCTGTCTGATCCGCCGTGGGTCGCGGTGGGCCGGGCGGGCAGCTGGACGAGAGCAGTGTCCTCCTGCCCCACCCCGGAGAGGTGTCCACGCGGATGGCCTGTTCTGCTGAGCAGAAGCTTGGTGGGAGCAGAGGGGCGGGGGGCGGGCTGCGAGGGTCCCAGAAAGTGCTTTGCCCTCAGAGGCCTTGTCCTCCCTGCCTCCCTGACCTGCACGGGAAGCCCCCCCCCCCCCCGCATCTGGCCACTTTCCTGACCCTCTGTGGTGGCCTTTTGGGGGGGCAAAGTGAGGAGGGTGCTGTGGGGGGGTCCCACTGACTTCAAGCACCAGGTGCCCGGGGCCCTTGGGGACCTGTGGGAGCCATGCGGCTGGTACTTTGGCTCCTTCTGGGCAGGCAGTGGGAGCAGGGTCTGGGGGCAGGGAGACGATGCCCCCACATGCTGGAGCTCCGGCTGGCCGTGGTCTGGGGCTGCAGGGTTTGCACGTCTGCTTCCCCAAGGGTTGCAGTCCCCTCTGGCCAGCCGTGCTGGGAAGACAGCCAGTCAGCTGGTGACATTGACTCTGCCCGTCCAGGGAGGGCCGGGCCCTCCAAGGTCAAGTCCGGTCTCGTGGGCAGCTCTTGCTGTGCCCCTCAGATGCTCGTGGCCCCGGGGCTGGAACGGGGCTTCCTCGCGTCTGCTGGGCCCAGGCGGGGGAGGCAGGCTCAGGGGCCAGCTGTGAGGGTCAAAACAGGGCCGGTGAATGCAGACGGTTGGAGACACTTCTCGGCCACCCAGTCATCCTCCTGGTGAAGGGCCTGCAGCCAGGGGACCTTCACCCTGGGGTCTAGGGGCTTGGAACCACACACCCTGAAGGGACAAATCTGGTGCCCTCCAGCTCTGGGCAAAGGTCACCAGCCTCTAGGAGCCCCGTTCTGCCTGGAGGGTCCCCCTCCCATGGAGCTGGGGTCACTTTGGGGCTGGAGACCACCTTCCCTGAGCTTTACTCCTGCCCGGCCCTGGGAGTCTGGCAGGTACCCCTTAGACCTGCGATGTGCTTGGGGTGAGGGCCCAGTCTCTGTCCCCTCCTCCGCCCTCCCTACCCCTCTCCCTCCATATGCCCACACGGGGAAGCCGCTGACTTGTGCTCCTGAGGGGCCAGGAGCTTCTTGGAGGGAAAAGCAACCCAGGGCTCCCCTCTCCTCCCTGCAGTGGGGTCAGGAGCCACCCAGTTCTGAGGCTCCCCATTTTCAGGGACATGTAGAGGGGGGGCCCCTGCATGTGGGGGGAGCTGGGGGGCCACAGGCCTGCAGAGGCAGGCAGGTGTCTATGGGGGGTAGGGACACGCTGTCAGGGGGTGGGAGTGTGGCCAGAGTGGGTGTGTGTGAGTGGCTGCTGGGACCCTCGGCGTGGCCATCTCGAGATGAGCAGTTGCCCGCATGGCTGAGGTTTGTGGGGGGAAGGAAGGGGGCTTTGGGATGGCAGCCCCCAGCCCCCGGGACTCCTGCCTCACCTCGAGGGGCACTTTTCCTCCAGCTGCCTGGTGGCAGTGCCACGCCCCTGCACCCCAGAACCTGCACTCAGCGGTGTCACCTCCCCGAGACCCCGATATTGGCATCCTGTGTGCTGAGCTGGAGTCAGCGTGAGGGCACGGTGGTGACGTCCCAGGGGTGGTGGGACCCTGGGACCCAGGCACGCAGGGACTGTCCCCGAGCCCGGCCTGTGCCGAACTCCAGACGAAGCAGCTCCGATGCAGGCCCTCAGCCGCCGCCACACCCCCTGCAGCTGCTCCCCGAGGGTCAGCAGCGCTCGGCCGCCAGTGGCCCCAGGCCTGGGCTGTCGGTGCCAAAGCCCGTGCTGGCAACTGCCCCCCTCCGCGTCGCCTCTGTCCTCGGATGATGGGAGAGTCGTGCACGGTGGCCGTCCACAGCCTGGGGCCGGTTCAGGGTCCTGTTTCTTATGGAGGCTGGGAGTTGGCGCCTGTTGCCGCCATGGGCGTGGGCCCAGCACTTGGAGCAAAGATGACAGAACACCTGCAGGGGCTCATCTGGGCTGACGTCAGCGTGCAGATGGCACCGAGGTGCCTGGGCTCGTTCCCTGCCATGGGGTCCCAGCACTGATGGTGACAGCAGCTGCCACCCACAGCGCCGCCCGGACCCTCTGCTCGCTGCCTCATTTCCCCTTCACTGCCGTCTGCGAGGCCAGTGGGGACTCCTCTCCCTCCCGGGGGGCCAGGGCCCAGTGAGGGTCAGTGGGGCCACCGTGGGAAGGCGGCTCCCCGCTGGGGTGACGGGCACAGAGATCGCTGCGGCTGGGGACCGCTGCCCGAGCACACTGGGTCCCGGGTGAGGGTCACAGCCCTGCCCAGCTGCCCGGTGGGAAGGAATGCGGGACAAATACCCCGGCATCTTTCTGCCTCCACGCTCCCCCCTCGCCCTCCAGTATCCTGAGGGTCTTCCCACGGGCCAAGCCCACCTGGAGCCAGAGGGCAGGTATGAGTGTATGTGTGTGTGTGTGCTTACTTGTGAGTGCACGTCTGTGAACATCTGCATTTGCATATGTTTGCGTGTGTGCGTGCGCACACGTGCGCCTGGCCTTGGGCCCGGGTGGCTGGCCAGAGCGGGCCAGAGCCTCGAGTGCGGATCCTGGGAGCGCCAGGCAGCCAGCAGACCAGCTGCAGGCAGGGAGGGTGGTCACGAGGCCAGATGGCTGGAGGTGAAGGCAGCCGGGCCGTACCACGTCATCTGGCAGGTCTGGGGATGCAGGTGGGAGTGGGGGAGGGGCCCTGGGCCCCTCTGGGTGGGCCAGAGCCTGGCCGTGCGCCGGGGGGAGGTGTCTTCCTCGGAGGCCCCGTGGAATCCGCTGGCTCTGAAGACTTCACGAGGCAGCGAGGCCTCGGCTTCCTCCCCACGCTGCGCCTGAACTGGAGCACCCTGTGTGGCCTCGGAGCAGGCAGGGCGCTCCTGTCCCCACCACCGTCACCTCCTTCCTCAGTGGGCACGTCCCCCAAACACTCACGGGTGCTGGGGCCCCGGACTGCGTGGAGTGGTGGTTTCCGGGAGAGGCAGCACCCCCGCCCCCCATGCTGTCCCCCGGCCCCCACCTCGCCACACTCCCTGGGCGTCCTCTCTCACCCACGCCTTGCTGGCTCTGCCGGTCCCGTTCAGCCTCGCGCCCCAGCGTGACCAGCCCTGGGGACGTCTCAGAGGCCGGGGGAGCTGGGGTGGAGGGATCTAGAGTCTGAGTCAGGCAGACTCAAGTCAACCCTGTCCCTGCTCCCGCTGACGCCGTGGACACTGGGGTGGGCCGGTGGCCGTGGGCGGCGAGTGTGCTGACGGGCTGTCCTCTGCCCCAGGCCCCACGTGTGTGCGGAGCAGGAGCTGACCCTGGTGGGCCGCCGCCAGCCCTGCGTGCGGGCCTTCAGCCGGACGGTGCCCGTGTGGAGGCCGGGCTGTGGGCGGCAGGCGTGGTGCGTCAGCCACGAGCGGAGGTACGTGGGTCCAGTGTGGGAGCGGGGCCTGGGTTGGGGGACCGTCCCGTGTCAGGCTGCCGCCTGTACCCCCCAGCTGCAGCCCCTCGTCTGATGGAGGACCCGGCCTCTCACACCCCCTGGGGGGCGGTCTCCTGAGGCTAGGACAGGGCCACGCTGCTCAGCTGGCCCCTGGGGCCTTTGTGGGCAGCTGGGGCGGGGACCTGGCGGGGAGGCGGCCACCCTGTGGGGGAAAGATGGGGTCACTGAGTGGGACCACCCCTCGGGGGGTTGGGGACCCTGCGGAGCTGGGTGTCTGCTGGCCACATGAGGGGGTGAAATGGAGGGCCCCCCCCCGGGCGGAGCTGCTGCCTGACCCCTGGGCCTCGTGCCCAAGCCTGTGCGAGACCTTTTATTGCTCAAGATTTTATTTCAACACCACGTTCAGGGAGTGCCCTTGCACACCTCCCCGTCACACTCCCGAAATCTGCCTGATTGCGGAGCCGTGGTGGGCGGGTCTCCACTCCGGCAACTCCCCAGCGTGGAAGCTGCCGGCAGCCCTGGCCAGGTCTGGGGAAGGCGTTGGCCCGTCAGCGAGGTTTTGGGGGAGTCACCTGCGCAGGCCTTCGGTGTGGGGCCTGGGCCCGAGTGTTGAAAGTGGAGGCCAGGAGGTGTGGCTGGGCTCTGACCATGGCTCTCAGCAGGGGGACAACTGGCGGTCCCCCTCCCCGGGGACCCAGCAGTGCGCCCTGGCGGGTCTGCTGTGACGGGAGCTGGTGGAGCAGACAGCCACCGCAGCCGCAGGTGGAGTCCGGGAGGTGGCCAGATACCCTCCGGCTCGGGGTGGCCCGCCCACGAGGGAAGAGCCCCCGGAGCCCCAGGCCCTCCCGTGTCCCCCGGGGTGTGCACTTCACACGCAGCGTGTCCTTCCAGCCCCACCGCCACACGTGGCAAATGTGCCTGTGATCACCAGACGGGACGAGGTCACATTAGCTGCACCCCCTGCCCCCCAGCAACCGGGGCTGTGAAGGGCGTGACTCTGGGAGCAGCCCCGGCCCTGGGCCGGCTGCGTGCTGAGGGGCTGCTGTGAGGCGGTGGGGGGGCGGCTGTCACGCTCAGCTGGGCCGGCGGGAGCAGGTTTCCAGAGCCTGTGCCGGGCGTCTGGGCGGAGGGGGAGAGCCCCTGTCTGGGAGGCCCCGCTGCCCGGCACCTGCTCATGGGGCCACGGCGGCGCGGCACCTGCTGTGCTGGCAGCCGAGGGGTCCTCGTTCCGTGTTGGAGTTTCCTTCCTGGGAAGGCTCCGGAGGCGGAGCAGGCTCCTCTGCTTGTACCTCTGGGCTCTAGGACACCCGGCTGTCCCCTGCCACTCGGCAGGCCCACCTCGGTGTTCCAGCGGCACCGTTTGGGTCCCTGGCCTGTGGGGCAGGTCCAGCTCCCGGCCCCCCTCGGCTCCTCCCAGGGTGGTCCCGGCCCCAGGACCCACTGCCGGTGAGCGGGGCATCTCGCACCTCTGTGCCCCCGCCATCAGGTGTCCTGTGGGCTCTCCTCGAACCAGCGCTGAGTGTTTTGGGGGCCTGGCCTCGCCCCTCTTCCAGAGTGCTCCTGGGGTGTTAGCTGTCGCCTCTCACAACTCCTGAGCTAAGGTCACTGTCCCCACGGGGGAGGTTTCCCCGAACACCTTGTCCAGATGGCCCTCCAGTGGCCCTGCCGGTTCCTCCTTCAGGACCCCAGGACACCCCGGCTTCTTCGGACGAGTCCCCAGCCCTCCCGTCACCTCTTGGGCCCAGAAGAGCGTCCAGTCCTCCTTGTCCACGTCACTTCTCCTAGCACATTATGGGTGCTTCTCCACAAACCCTCCAGCCAGCTGACACAGGCCGCCCTGGGGCCTGCCTGCCTCCGTAGGGAGCACCCACCCAAAAGGAAGGAAGGCAGAAAGGGGGGGGGGAAGGCAGGAAAAGGCTGCTTGGCGCGCAGAGCCCACGGGTGGGCCCTCCCAGCAGAGGCCTCCAACCCCAAGACCCAGCTGTGCTGTGGCCTGGGTTCCTGGGCGGCCGCAGGGGCCGAGGGCTGCGCACCGGGCTTGCAGCCCCGTCTTCCTGTGACAGTGGCCCTGCTGTGAACCAGCTCCTGTGGCGCTGCTGCCCCTTTGAAGTGTCTGTGAGCTGTGGGTCCGTGAGGGTCCACTCTCAGGACGCCTGGGGGGCTGCAGGCGGGTGGCAGGTGGGCCGGGCCGCCCGGGCTTCCAGGGACTGCGAGGATCCGCACGTAGCCCCGGAGAGGGACGGATATTTACGAGGGACGGGCTCAAACACTCCGGCTGCCAAAGGCGTCCCCGCGGCGGCGGCGGCTTCTCCGCAGGCAGGCCGTTTCATGTCCTGCCAAGACGGTGTTTGCGGAGCCCCTGACCGCGTGCACAGTGCGTTCAGCGCCCTGCTTCCCGGAAGCGGCCTGACCGTCGGCGGGCCCAGGGCCCCAGGCCGCTGCCCCAGCACACCTGGGGGGCCTTTCATGTCCTGGAGACCGACCCCAGTCCAGGCTCTCCAGCCACTCGCAGCGGCTCAAGGGTCCTTGACCCAGTGGTGCTGGCTGGGCCTGGGTCCGGTTCCTGCGGACGGCAGAGGGGGCTGGGGTAGGGGGGTCACTGTGCCTGAGGGCCTCGAGGTGGCCCGGCCAGCCCCCTCCTCCAGACGGGGTGGCTCCAACGACCCTCCTCCCGGCAGCCAGCAGCCCCACGTCAGGTGTGGGAGGTTCCCTCCGAGGCTCTGACAGCATCTGGGGATGGCGCCCATCGGCCGCGGTCCTGGGCTGGTAGGTGCATCGCACCAGCCTCTGTCGTCCCTCTGCTGTCCCTCTGCTGTCCCTCTGCTGTCTGTGCCCGGACCTCCCTCTTCTCACGAGGACCCCAGTTGCTGAATTCGGGGCCACCCCAAGGCAGGCCTTCTTCATTTGACTTGAGGATGCCTGTGAAGACCCCCTCTGCAGACGAGGGTGCAGCCCAGGTGCAGGAGTCCTGGCTCAGCACTACTCACCTTGGGAGGGGAAGGGACCCCCCCCCATAGACATTCCAGAGCAGGCCTGTGTCCAGTTCCTTGGCCCACCGGTGGGCCTGGGCCCTGAGCAGGCCCCACCCGCGGCACGGCCTGCCCTGAACTGGGCACCTGGACCCCCGGGGTCCATTCTGGAAGGTGGCCCTGCCGGTCAGCAGGGCACTTGGTGTCTGCCCCCCCCGGCCCTCCAGGACTGTCTGCGTGACCACAGCCAGCACCCATCCTGAGCCGGCAGGGAGCTGGGCTGCCAGAGGGGGCCGAGGGGGCGGAGCACTGCAGGAGGCCTTTCCCTGGCTCCGGGCGGCGTGCACCGGGGCACCTCCGAGCCTCACACTCAGCTTTGCGACGGGGACAGCAGAGGACGGACCGGAGGGCGGGTGCGGTGCCTCCAGCCCTTCCCTCCCCCTCTTTTCCAGAACCAGCTACTACGCCAGCTACACGCAGGTGTACACCACAGAGGCCCGGACGGTGCTCAGGTGCTGCCCCGGGTGGAGCCAGCGGCCCGGCGCCCAGGGCTGCCCCTCCGGTGAGTGTCCCCGCCCACCCGTGCCACCTGCGGACGCTGAGTCTCCCTCAAAGCGGCTGTGTGTCTGGGGACTGTCCCTCCCAGCTGCCTGGGGACGCGGCCCCACCCCCATGGCCTGCTCCTGGTGGGGCCTGTCACGGGGCCACACGTTCCGCTGGCGTGTCACCAAAGGCTGTTAGGACAAAGTAACACAAGAGGAAAGGAACCAGGGTGTCCCCCGTGCTGGTGCTGGTGGGGTCAGGAGGGAGAGCCACCCAGAGGGGTCTCGGGCGCCTCTGAGCCTGGCATGGGTCAGGGTCATGGAGCGTGACCCCCACCCCCCCCACTAACCCCCGTCCCTGCTGTCTGACACCACTCTGTCCCCCCAAAGGCCGGCCTGGGCACCGGGCCCCGGCCTCAGTGGGAGCAGGAGGGCTGCTCCGCCCTGCCTCAGCCTGCCTGCCCTCCACTGAAGGGACGGTTGCCGCCCCAGAGAGTGTGTCCTGGTGGGTGCGTCTGGCCCTGGCCGGCTGTCGGGAAGCCTCTGCTTGGTGCCAAGTTGGAGCTCGTGGGGATGGGGGGTCTGCTGCCCCCAAAGAGGGCTGGGGAGGCTGGCGGAGTCTGCGTCCCTCCCCTGAGAGGCCGGCCGGTGGTCTCGTGTCCCCTGAAGCAACGGCGTGGCATCCCGTCACGTGAGGGGTGCCTGGGGTCTCGAGTACCACACCCAGGGGTTACCCACAGCGGGCCCTCTGTGACTGGGATGGGACACAGACGTCAGGGGCCCGTCACAGCGTGACCTCGGGGCCCCTGGGTTTCTCCTCACACCGAAAACACGGGGGCCAAAGGAGACCTTACGTGAACCGCAGGAGAGAAGGGGAAGGACAGGACGTGGGGATGTTTTCTCAGGAGAGGAAATGAACAACTCCCTCCCGGAAGGGAGTGGAGGGCGGAGGAGAAGGAAGTCGCCCCGGCCCCGGGCTGGAGGGACCGTGGGGGCTGGGAGCAGGGTGGAAGCTGGCCCGCTGCCCCCCCAACAGCTGCCCTTCTGTCTGAGGCCTGATCGCAGGCCTGGTGTGTGCAGCTCCTGGGGGGGGGTGGCGTCTGGGAGAACAAAGGGGCCTCTTGAGTGGGCGCAGGGCAGACATCAAAGCCAGGTTCCCATTTCCGCCCCACGGGGGCAGGGGCTCCCCAGGCCTGCTGAGGGGAGCCCCCCCCCGCACAGCTCCAGCAGTCCTGACGTGATAATGGGGGACAGGAAGGCAGCGGGGTCTGGCCTGTGTCCCCGTCCCCAGGGTCAGTGTGAAGAGGCTTGGTCTCTCCACCCAGGAGGGGACATGGGCGCAGGGCGTGTGGCCGGGCTCCTGGGCTGGGGGTCGGGAGCCAGCTGCAGGTCCAGGCCCGTCCAGCAACGGTCCCAGGACCGTGTGTGCTCTGCACCCCCGGGCTGGGGTCCTGAGCCCTTGGTTCCCCCCAGCTCTGGGAGTGACCGTCCCGGTCTGGGCAGGAGGAGTGGAGGCCGAGGCCCGGTGGTCTGGGGCCCGTCTCCCCTGCCCGCTCGGTCTGAGCTGAGCTCCGTCCTCGCTGCGGGATGAGGGGTGACGCTGCCCCGTCCTGGCCGGCGGCCGGCGTGGGGATACGGCTGGTGGGGCGTCCCTCAGCTCAGAGTGGGTCTTGGCTGCCACCCTCCCCAGGTGGGGGGCTCTCAGCCCCTGGGCCTGGCCTTGGGCATGTGGATCGTCACATCTGCCAGGAGACATGGGGCAGAACGACCACAGCCAGGGTCCCCACGGGACAGGGCCCCTCGGGAGGTCTCCCTGGGACGAGGTTACAACATGCATTCGGAACCTGAAGCTTGGCTTTCTTGGTCGTTCGTTTGTAAAATTCTGTTTTAGGGCAGGATTCCTTACTGATGTGTTTGGCTTTTATCTGCTTCAGGGGTCCGGGGAGAGCCCTGTAGTCTGGCCGCTCGGGTGGCCACGGAGTCTGGGTTGCCAGCTGCGAGGGGTGGGCGTGGGGCCCCACAGGGGGCACTGGGCGGGAGCCTGGGATCTCGCCCTGGGTGGGGGTGCCGCACGGGGTCATTGTCTGGGGTCACAGCAGCGGGGTGGCTGACACAGTCCGGAGCCTGCGTCCGGAGGTCGGAGGGTCTCCTCTGTTCACGCTGCGCTCTGAGCCTCGGAGGGTTGGCTGAGGTCGCAGGACCAGTGAAGGCCGAGTGACCGTCTCATTGGGTGTCCTCGCTTCGTCCATCAGAGGAGATCAAGCCAGGAGAGGTTCCCAGGAAAACCCCACACCCGTGGGAAGCCCACAGGGCCCCCACTTGGGGACGGGTGCGTCCTGCTCATCACCGTGTGCGCAGTGACTGCCCAGCGGGCTCCACGGAGCAGTGACTCTGTGCGTGAGAACAAGCCTCGCGCACGCAGGCCGGCTAGGGGAACCAGGGGCCCCTCTACCTTCTCAGCAGTAGTGACGGACAGACAGACGGACGGGGATTGTGAAATGGCCCCAGGAGCAGGTTCCGAGAATAAAGAGCGCCCACTTCTCCCAAGTTCCCTGGAGGGGGCTCCGGGCTTGTTGGGAAGAGGCCCGAGTGACAGCTGAGTCCAGTGACCCGGCCGCTCTCAGTGGCCAAGGGACATTGAGAGGTGGTCAGGCAGGGGCAGGGCCAATGGCCACAGTGAAACTTCGTTTGGATGTGACCTGGAGACGAGGCGTGTGGGACACGGCCCCGGGGCCCGTGGTGTGGGCGTCGGAACGAGGAGAAGGCGGTTGCCCGTGGGGAGAATGGCAGGAAGCTTCGGATGGAGCTGAGATTCCTCTGAGAGCCACTTAGCAGCACGGTGACCTGGAGGTGACCGAAAGAAAGTGTCAGCTGGACAGGGCAGTGGTGCGGGATGCCCGGGGCTTCCCCGGATCTGCATGGCCCCTTGTGCCCTGGGGGGCAGCTGGGCTCTGACCCGTGGCTGCTGGGGTTCAAGTTCTTCCCGCCCAGCGGAACTGACTTCCACGCCTACCCCGGCTGGGGGAACACATGTTGCCTGGACCGTCACGCTGGTTCAGCCATAGCTGCCCTGGGTCCTGGATCCCCCTCATCGAAGGACGCAGTTCCTGGCCTGGAGCAGCTCGGACTCCCGGATCCCCGCACGCCCACTCTGAAACAGACGCAGCCAGGAAGACACATCTGCTCACACCCTTGGTTCGCCTGGGCTCCCCGTCCCTCTGGGGGCCGGCAGGGGGGCGGGATGGGGCGGGAGGAGCCCGCCCTGGGAAAGGGGAGCTCTGCCTACCGCTGGGAGGTTCCGACTTGCCAGAGTCGTCACTGCAGCCACGTGCACCCAGAGACAGGCCGTGTAGTGGTTTCCAAACTAACTCTTCCAAAAGAAAGGGAGACAAAGTAACAATGAAGTGAAAACAGTAACACAGTGTCCGGGCTGAGGAGAAGTCCTGGCCCAGGTGATACATTGCACAAACTGCGAGAGGGCCTGCAGGTTGTGGGAGGGCGGCGGGGACAGACTCCCGCCCTGTGGTCGGTCCTGGAGGGAGTGAGGACGGGGAGGGTAAATTCCCTGCCCAATGGTGTCAGCACAAAACGCCGAGCAGGAAAATGAGGCAGGGAGCAGGGAAAGGGGTCGAGGGACCGGCAGGTGGTGCTGGCTCCAGTGGGGCCGGGGACAGCCTCCCTCTCCGCCCAGGGCACGGGTGGCCCGTGTGACAGGAGCGGGGGCCGGGGCCTTGCAGTTGCCTGGGGAAGAGACCCCTGCAGCACAGAGATTGGAAGGTGCGAGGCCGTGGTAGCCCACGAGGGGCTGCGCCGTAGCTCCTGCCCACTGGAGCCATGGACCAGATGAAGCCCTGGCTCCATGCCTGCGACCCCGGCCCCTGGAGGCGGAGCTGTGGGTGAGCCCCTGCACCCAGCTGCGGTCCTGCAGGCAGGTGGCCCTGGCAGGTGGCCCTCCCTGGGGTCAGGCTGCACTCAGCCCCGAGCCCAGTGTGGGGACTGGCAGCGCTGCCACGCACACCCGTGTGCGCTCACACTCTGCATAGCAGGCCCAGCACCCCTCCCCCGCTGCGGCCCACGGGTCCCAGCACCGCAGTGCTCACGCTCGGGGTGCTCGGCGCAGCATTGCCCTCGGTGAGGCCGGGCGGGGCCGTGGCTCACAGCCTGCCCAGCACGCCCAGGACCGAGCCTGCAAGGGTCTGCATCCCCGCATCCGGGCAGTCCTGGGACTGCAGGGACTTGCTGCCCACTCGGATCTGCTCTCCAGGGCTCAGTGTCTGGGGCTGGGGGCCAGGGCCGGGAGGGGCGGTGGGCTTTGTCAGTGGGGTCTGTGGTCTCTTGACCCCCACCGCCGCCATCCACAGGACAGGCTCGCAGACGCACGGTGGCTGGCTTGAGTCCAGACTTGCAGCCCGCAGAGGCTTTGAGAGCTGGGCCTGGCTCTGGGCAGAGGGCGCCTGTCCCCCTGCCTGTCCTCAGGGACCCACCTGTGTGGTGGGCAGTGGTCCCCGCGAGGAGGCTGTGGAGCCAGCCTGGGGGGCTCGGTCCTTCCCCGGGAGCCTGGAGTGGGGCTTTCTCCCTGAAATGAGGGTCTCGGGGGAGGGCTGGCATGGGGGCACGTGATCTGGGCCCCCCAGCCCGCAGCCAGCATGGAGTGAAAGGCCAGGTTTGGGCGGCAGAAACGGGGACAGAGGGGCAAAGCCAAAGGGGCCTGCTCTGCCCCTGGGCTCCCAGGGAAGTGGCTTGGGCAGAACTGAGCTCTTTCCCCCATAAATGCTCAGGCGTGTGGAGAGGCTGTTGTGGGGTCTCGCCCCACCCAGAGGGGCTCCTCTGGGCCTAGACCACATGTGGCTGGGGGGGGGCAATGCGGGGGCCATAGCAGCAGGGCCCGGCTGCCAGCCAGCCGGACCTCCAGGTGTGGGGACGCAGCCCTCAGGTGTGGTCCCTGCTGCGGTGGGGGGAGGGCCTGGGTCCCGTCTGGCCCAAGGCCTCGCCTGGTGGGTTGACTTCCTGGGTGGGTGTGCTCTCGGGACTCCGCCCTGGAGGGTGGGCTGGGCGCAGCCCCCAGACTCCTGCCGCGCTCACGGGCCCCCGCCCCTCTCTCCACAGCTGACTGCAGCGCCGGCCTCTGTCTCAACGGTGGCAGCTGTGAGCCCGGCTCAGCCCGACTGTGCCACTGCCCCCCAGGCTTCCAGGGCCCCCGCTGCCAGCACGGTGAGTGGGGCCCCTGCCAGGCGCGAGGCTCTGGCTGTGCCCAGGGGGCAGGACCCTCACCGATGGCCGTTGTCCATCGCCCTGGGCCCCGCTGCCCACCCGAGTTGTGAGGTGCGGGGCCGACCCTGACGCCTTGTATCCAGCACCCTCAGGACTCCTCAGTCGTGCCTTCTGTGGGTGGGGTGGAGGTGTGGACGCAGGCAGGTGGGGGGGAGCGCTTGTCCCAGGGGGTCTCCGAGCTGCCCGGCCACCTCACCGGAGTCTCCCATGTCCTTGATGTTGGAACGTGGGGGCCCCGGGGGTCCGACCTGAGGCAGTCGGTTGAGAAAAGGGGCACATCAGAAACTGAAGTCCGACAGCCATGGAAGCCAAGCCTCTCAGTCACTTGGGGAAGCGCTTGTGGGGGGCCCGGGCTCGCTGGCTCCAGGCAGGCGTGGGGCGGGGGACAGTTTCTGCACAGTGCACAGTGTGAAAATGTCAGAAGCATCCCCGCAAACGTTCCCCACAGTTCTCTGAGTGACGGGAGCCAGGGTGACCTCTGGCCCCCCCCTCTGCCGGTCGCACCCCGCAGGGCTCCCCCGCAGGGTCCTGCGGGCACAGGCACAGAAGCCACAGGCACAGAGCCACGCCGCCTCCTGCCGCCGCCACACAGACCAGATGCTCCCAGGCGGTTTCCGGGCCTTTGAACTTGCTTCCGGCGAGCAGCTGGGGGCTTCTTCCAGGCGGACGCCGGGGCAGACACCCGGAGATGAGCGTCCACACTTCCCGGTGCCCAGCAGGCAACCGGAGGAGATCGGGGAACTGTGGGGAACAGAAGGTCCCCCTGCTTGTAGAGGGGCCCCTCCCCTGCCGCTGTTCCCTGCCCATCCCCCAGCACCGGGCTGAGGGCAGGGGTTTCGGTGGGGGGATGCTACCAGAGTTCGGGGGGCGGCAGTAGCTGGGGGAGTGCCGACGGTTGGGAAGCTGTCGGGTTGGCCACTCTGCTGGCTGGTCGAGTGCCCTCTGTTCACTGGAAGGTTCCGCGCTGAGCCTGCCCATCCCTGGGTTCTGGGAGGGCTGCTTCTCGCAGAAATGGAAGAAGGGCCCCTCCAGGGGCTGAGGGTCCGTGCCCGGCGCCCCTGGGGGCTGCTCAGAGGCCACCCACCCCACTGCGAAGCATCTGTGGTCCCCGCCGGGAGCACCGCTGTGCCTCGCCCCTCCTCAGGGTCTGTAACTATGGTGACAGGGGGCTGGGGAGAGATGCTTCGAGGACCAGGGGGCTCGTTTGTGCTGCTAGACTTGGGTTTTGCTGGGCATCACCGTGGGGGTGGGCGGAGCACTTCCGTCCTGGTGGCCAGCTGCCTTTGGGGGCGTTGCTGGGACAGGGCTGTGGCCGGGCAGTCAGCCCCACAGCTGCTGCCGAAGTCCCTCTGGGCAGGGGGGGCGGGGGCAGCAAAGAGGTGACTCTGGAGTGTGGCCTGTCCCTGGTCACATCCTTTGGGAAATAGTGGTGACGCCTTAGGGCTGGGCTTCCACCAGACTCTGTCTTCACCTGCCTGTCGAGGTGTCCACATGGAGCCACATGGGCTGGAGCACCCTATGGGCCGAGCAGCCTCTCCACCCCTACACACCCCTGCACTTGGCCTCCTGGGTACCAGAGGGGGTGAGGGCTGGCAGGGCACCATGGGGAGGGAGCCAGGCGTCCCTCAGGGGCTCAGACATGCAGTGGGGGCTCTGTGGCCAGAGGGAGGGAGCCTGTCTCACCCAGTTCAGGGCCCGAGGCTCAGAGACCCAGCTTTGGGGTGCTGGGGGAGCAGCGTGCCCCAAGCTCCTTGGGGTCCAGGCTCCAGGCTTGGCTTTGCTCCAGAGCAGCCCCCGTGGGGACAGCCCTTCGGGGTGGGCAGAGGGCCTGGAAGCCCAGAGCACCTGCCTGTCCCTGTGTCCTGCTCTGCCTGTGACGCCCCGTCAAACCCTCACTTCCTGTGCTTGTAGAAGAGGAACCGGGGCCTGGGAGGCCTGGGGGGCCCGGCAGCTGCCGCTGCTCGGGGAGCTGGGGCTGGAGTCTCGGCCCACCCGTTGAGGACCTGGAACCTTCTGGCCGTCTCCTGGGCGGTGCCAGGGCGTCATCTGGTGGGTCCCCGTGACCTCTGCTTTGGGGGAGAAGGGAGCAGAACCCGGGTCCCTGTCCTGTTCTGAACCCTGGGCAGGGCGGGCGGAAGCATCTGCGCCAGGAGGCGGGGCCTGTGAGCAGCCCTTGGGTGGGCTTCCTGGGGGGGTGGCCAGCTGGGGGGCAGATGTGGCAGATGTGGCCGTCAGGGAGCAGTAAAGGGGAGGGGCTGCAGGGCCCCCACCTAGGCACCGTCTCCTTGGAAGAGAGGCCAAGGGAACAGGCTGAGTGTGCAGGCTGGGTGTGAGCAGGCTGGGTGTGCAGGCTGGGTGTGCAGGCTGGGTCGAGGGTCCTGCCCCCGCAGTGCAGCAGCCCCTCGCTCGGTTCCCTGGTCTGAACCCCGCAGCACCTCCTGGTGCCCCCTCCGTGCTGGCGCAGACCCACCGACCTGCGCTCCAGCTCGGAGGGAACATCCAACTGACTGAAGTTGTAATTGGTTCCAGTTTTGAAAATATAAGCCATATTGTCTCTGGTTCCCCAAATTCTTTCACTGGAACAAAAGAGTGGGGGAGGGGGAGGGGCTGCTGGCTCGATGCTGGTGAGCAGAGGGGTGGGGGGGGCCTGCCTGGGGGGCTCCAGGCTTTGTCCCGCCTCCCCCGGAGGAGGCTCTGCGGGAGCACAAAGGGGCCTGTGTGGGCTGCTGGGGGCGGGGCGGGTGGCGGTGCCCCGCCTGGTGCCTGGTGCAGCTGGGGGTCCAGGGTGCTCCTGAGCCCTGGGATCTCGGGCCGCGCCCGGCGGCCCGTGTGTAGTGGGACAGGGACGCAGCGGTTTGCACAGGTGGCAGGCGTCCGTGTGGGTGGGGCACCTGGGGAAGGACGAGGGAAGGTGGGCACCTGCCCTCCCCAAGCACCTGCTGTGTTTGGGGGGAGCGTGGGGACCAGCTGGTGGCCGGGCTGGCCCTTGTCCTAGGGGGGCCCGAGCGCAGGGCGGCTCCCTCGGGGTGGCCTGGGCCTAGTGCCACTGGTCAGCGAGGAGGGAGGTGTACCCTGGGGACGCCCTGTCCCTTGGTGGACTCTGGGGTCCTGTGAACACATAGGCGGCTGGTGTTGAGTCTTTTTTTCCTTTTTAAAGTTTTTATTGCCCTGGCTGGTGTGGCTCAGTGGATTGAGTGCGGGTCTGTGAACCAAAGGATCGTGGTTTGATTCCCAGTCAGGGCACGTGCCTGGGTTGCAGGCCAGTTCCCAGCAGGGGACGCACGAGAGGCAACCATACATTGATATTCTCTCCTTCCCTTCCCCTCTAAAGATAAATAAATCTTTAAAAAAAGATTTTATTTCTTTTTTAGAGAGAGGGGAAGGGAGGGAGAAAGAGAGCAAGAGAAACATTGATGTGAGAGAGAAGCGTCCATCAGTTGCCCCTTGTGTTCCCCGACCAGGGACCTGGCCCCGTTGTGCTCTGACTGGGAATCGAACCAGCAACCTTTCAGTTTGCAGGACGATGCCCTACCCACGGAGCCACACCAGCCAGGGCTCTAGTGTTGAGTTTTTAAGGAGAAAACGGGCACAGAAACCTGACACTTAAGAACATACACGTCTTGACATCGTTGCCCTTTGCTCTGTGCGTCAGGACACAGCCGCTCTAGTCATTTCTCGTGACGTGGGCGCCCCTGACCTTGTGGGACGAGAGCAGACAGAGCACTGTGGCCTGGGGCTCCTCCAGGGGCCCTCCTGGTGGGAGCAGCTCTGGCTCTGTCCCCTCTGGGCTTCCACTTCCTCCCCATGAAAGGGGCAGGCTGGGCGGGCCACCAGGGCAGGTCTGGGACACTGGCCCCCAGGCCCAGGGAGTGGTCAGGGCTCAGCTCTGATGCCCAGCAGGCGTGCCCTGCCTGTCCTGCAGGGCCGGGGGGTGGTGTCCACAGACATCCTGCTCTGGACCACCGGGTGGCCCCCAGCACACCCCCGGCCGCCTTTCAGCGTGGCTGGCTCAGGGAGGGGCATGTGTTCGCTCAGGGACTTGTGTAATTACCAGGTTTGCCCCCAGCGCCCACAAAGGCACTTCTGTCCTGTGGACGGCTGAGTCCTCCCAGTCCGCTCCTGCACAGCGGGGCCGTGGGCCTCTCCCCGGACCGGGTGCGGGCCCGGACGGGTGGTCTTTTAATGACATAACCACAGCAGGAGACACCGGGAGGCAGACCCTCCTGGGCGTGGGGTCTGTGCTCACCCCACCTGCCCCCAGGTGCTGGCTGGGCGTTTGGCGACTGGGCATCTCTGGTGCCCCCTGCTGTCCGGGCAGGACTGAGGCTGGGGTTCAGAGAAGGACAGGGCCTCGGTGCCTCCTGGGGCTGCCCACGGCCCTGTCCTGCCCTCTGGGTGGTCTCCTGAAGTGACCCTGTGGCCCTGTCCCTTGGCTACACTGTCCTATCCCCTTCCCAGGAAGCCATCCCAGGCTCTTTGAGTGAAAGGCCCCTCTCTGGACTGGGGGGCAGTCCTGGGGTGAGCCGGGGGCTCGTCCCATTTCACACAGGGGGACCTTGACCCGACACCGCTGAGTTTCAGGCGGGGGTCAGTGATGGCTCAGCGGCAGCAGGCAGCCCCTCGGTCCCCGGGGCTGGGTGTGGCCCTTGCCTCTGCCTCTGCTGAGGTGGGGGCGTCAGGATGGCATCTGGGGGACTCAGTGGGCCCCCAGACTGTCACCGCCTCGGGGATGGACGGACAGGCGCTCACACAGCTGCTGGGAGCCGGAGCTTCCTTCCGGACCCAGGGGCCGTGTTGGGCGCCTGCAGACCTTCCCTGGCAGCAGCGCCGGGCTGAGTGGAGCCAGGCGGTTGCCCGCTCACCCGGCCACGGCTGGTAGCCTGGTGCTTCCTCCTCTGGGCGAGGAAAGACCTGGCCAAGCCAAGCAGGGCTGGGGCCCC